TGATATCATATTGATTACATTGCTTAATGACATTTAACAATTTGTATCTAATTAGGAAACTTATTTTTATTAACTTACCTTACTAATATTGATTACTTGCGCAAGTTAAAATCATATCATATGCATATCATTTTATTAGCTTATCATGCAAGCTAAATCATTGAGAAACATCCATCAATTTACTATATATAAGACATTCGCAGTATGAGAAACGAAGCCACTGAACTTTTTATTCTGAACTTTTTATGTTGATATTGTTTTTGTTATTTTACATCATTAAGCTTTTACATATACATATTTCATCAGAGCTGATTTTTCTTTTGGTTTATATGCAGATGCTCTATTATAACGATTTCACCACGATGCAGGAAATTTTTTTTATCTTTCTATATGATTTGATTAATCGTAGATCTATTTGAATTTTAATTCTTACTTTTTAAATATGTTCATAGGTATTATATTTCTATTTAATGATTGTTTTTTAGAGCTTAGAAGGAGAAGAATGCTTTCATATGTATTTTTCTATTGGTTTTTTAATTTACAATTTTAGTTTATATGCGCAGACCAACGATTATGACGTTTCTTCTTGTGGATCCATATGTACTTAAATCTCTCTTCACATTCATGTTATTCAGAGACATGAGCATTACAAATGATCATATCATCCAAAACACGTAAACTACAATGTAAGTTTTATGCTTTGTTACTTTCTCTATGTTTTTCAAATAATTATTTGCTTATACACTAAAGAAAAAAAATCTTTAATCAATATTTTACTATAAAAGTTAGTATAACTTTTTATACATTTTATCAACTTTGTACTCAAATATGATTTTATACAATTTATCATATTATAAAATGTATATCCTATAAATTCATATATGTAAACCATATTTTCTTTTTTTTGTTATCTTTTTTTTTGTCATCATAAACAATATAGTTCTATGTCAATTATAATATAACTTTATAAAATTTATCACATAATAAATTATGTATATAATTCAGAGTTAGAATATGATATGTGTAACATTTTTATATATATTTCTAATACTAATGTTAGAATTAAATCGGTTAAATACAAATTTCTATAATAAATATAAGTGATAAAACATAATTATTATATATTTCTATAGATTTACAATATATCAAAATCAAAGCTATTTATTATTCTTTAATTTTATAACCATATTATGGTATTAGGAAAGATATACCTTGTTGGTAAAGGCTTTTAATTNTATATATTTCTAATACTAATGTTAGAATTAAATCGGTTAAATACAAATTTCTATAATAAATATAAGTGATAAAACATAATTATTATATATTTCTATAGATTTACAATATATCAAAATCAAAGCTATTTATTATTCTTTAATTTTATAACCATATTATGGTATTAGGAAAGATATACCTTGTTGGTAAAGGCTTTTAATTAGTTAATTCGTTTATTAATAACTTGCCTTATTTTATTATCAATTACTTGCGCAAGTTGATACGATGATTACCTTATTTTGCCATCAGTTACTTGTCTTAAATGATTTTATACATTTTATTAACTTTGTACTCAAATATGATTTTATACAATTTATCATATTATAATATGTATATCCTATAAATTCATATATGTAAACTATATATTTCTTTTTTGTCATCTTTTTTTTATCATCATAAACTATATAGTTCTATGTCAATTATAATATAACTTTATACAATTTATCACATAATAAATTATGTATATAATTCAGAGTTAGGATATGATATGTGTAACATTTTTGTATATATTTCTAATACTAATGTTAGAATTAAATCGGTTAAATACATATTTCTATAATAAATATAAGTGATAAAACATAATTATTATATATTTCTATAGATTTAAAATATATCAAAATCAAAACTATTTATTATTCTTTAATTTTATAACCATATTATGGTATTAGGAAAGATATACCTTGTTGGTAAAGGCTTTTAATTAGTTAATTCGTTTATTAATAACTTGCCTTATTTTATTATCAATTACTTGCGCAAGTTGATACAATGATTACCTTATTTTGCCATCAGTTACTTGTCTTAAATGGTTTTATACATTTTATCAACTTTGTACTCAAATATGATTTTATACAATTTATCATATTATAAAATGTATATCCTATAAATTCATATATGTAAACTATATATTTCTTTCTTGTCATCTTTTTTTTGTCATCATAAACTATATAGTTCTATGTCAATTATAATATAACTTTATACAATTTATCACATAATAAATTATGTATATAATTCAGAGTTAGAATATGATATGTGTAA